TTCTTTCTTCCCCCTACCCCTCCTCTCTCTCTCTCTCTCTCTCTCTCTCTCTCTCTCTCTCTCGTTTATCGCCCCGACTTCGACCGCACTCGGGAATTTTATTTCACTCTTTCTTTCTCTCTCTTTTTTTTTATTTTTTACTCATTACGCATTCAAGTGCATTTGCAATCACCTCACCATCGTAAAAACCCGCGCGGGTCGTTTTAAGACGGGCCTTTAATCGAATCCTTGCCACAAAGGGCCTTGGCGTTTCCACGCGAAATTCGCGGCGACAAGTGCGTTGCCGCCTTTAAACGCGGCGTTTTGTGGCTCCTGTTGCGGACGACACAAAAATAGCCGGGCGTCGTTCGCGGCCATCCGGCGTTTACACCGATCTAAACTGCGGGGCCCCCTTCACTTTATCCCACCCGTTGCGTGCTACCCGAGAAGCCTCGAAATGTTCGTGACTTTGACGGGAAACATCGGATCGACGAAGGCAATTCAAATCGTGCGACCTACGAACGCACATCACAGAACGTTTTATTTTCCAGAGAATTTATATCGAGAAAAAGAAATTGAGGGTAGCAAGAAAGTATTTCGTAGAAAGACGGAGGTAGAGAGGTGCAATTATATAATTTACGATGATGTAGTAATAATAGGTTCTTATATGAGAAGAATCGGCGACGACACGGCGATGATTATGCCGAGAAGTGACAAACAGCGCTTAATAAAGTGGACCGTTTAATTTGACTGATACAAAAGATTCCGCGGTGCGGGACCGCGTGGCATTTTAAACGCCATTAATGCGCTTGATGAAGCGAGGCATGTCTCGGGCAGTCCGTCGTCTCTCCGACATTAGCATAACAAAATAGGAAACGCAGTCGCGACAGATATAATACTCGCGAATCCTTCCGAGAACGATTGCGCGCGTTCATCTCACGTGCCCGTTTCGTGGATTACACGTTGCGCGATCATAATGCCGTGCCTTGTAGGGGACGTGTTGTAAATTTAATTCGACGTTTTCTCTCGCGGCTTTGTTTCTCGCTTTTCTTCTCTTTGTTTTTTTTTTTTTCAAACGCCACGTCGAGCGCGCCTAATGCACACTCGCGTCGATGTCCCGTGCCAATAATGACAGATTTCATCTGCAGTAAATCCGTCTGCGCGCCGTAATCCGCAAACGGCGCGTCTAAATTTATATACGCGGTGTATATGTGATTTTGCATAGCAGCTCCTAAGCTGGTTTTTAACGGGAATCGACGTCGAAAAAACATTGTTATTCGTGTATTAATCGCGTTGGAAAGTACAACAATAAAGACCGCCCAACATGGACCACCTCATCGATCGCCCGCCTAATTAAGTCAGGATCGCGGTTGATGTCAATAATCTGCATAATATGCATCGCGATACCTATGCAATATAAATCATTTACGTATCAATATATCGCTTGTGTATCCCGCATGTGTGTCCGATCGCATATCCTGTCCACTCGGGCGATCGGTATGTCGGGCCACGCGTGCCGAGACAATAAGCGTGTCTTCACGCGCGTAATTTACGGCGAATCGGCGTTCCTCCGCGCTACCGCCGCGAATCCTTCTCGGAACGAGACGAGCGCGTTTCTTCAACGAATTTAAACGAGCGGCCCGAGGTGACGTCGATCGGCGGGAATGTGTCGTGCAACATTCGTTCCCTCGGAACGCAGGCTGTCCGGCACCAAATGTATACACGACCCCGCGACTCTGTCGTTGCGTACACGACCCGCCGCATAACTGCATTCGCAGCTGCGTCTTTCAACTGCGACATCATCGGCGTTACTGCTCTTGTAAAAAGAAAAAGAAAAACTCACGCAATTCTCCCTGTCACACTATCCTATCAGCGAATTACGATTTATGCGCACGTTGACTCCAGAAAGTCAGAAAAGGCTCTTCGCGAAAAAATTGCAATGACGCACCGATAAAATTTTTCTCCTCAACGCCATCATAAAGATCGAGACAAACAGAATTAAGACGAGACCAAAAGGAATTTATTCCCACGGAACGAAATGCTTGATCTTCGCAAGATAAATTAATTCACAGCAGAGACCAAATAGGATAAAAATATTCTTCGAATAAAAGACACGTTCCGTCCATCTGTCGATCTGACACTCATTAATCGTGCCATAATCAATTCTCCGTTGCGAATCCTATACCTACCTTTCACAATTCGTCGACCATTATCGGCGATTACGAACGCGCCGCGTCGTTATCCGCAAATATAGGTGCGATAATCCTCTCGCGAGGGCATAATTAGATGCTGCCGGCCAGGCCAACGATGCGCGCACGTATAGCCGGAGAGAAATTGTACTATACATAATTAATACAGTCATCAAACTCGCGCCGCGAGCGATCCCGGTGCGTTTTACGGCGCGGAGAAGAGAGAACGAGAAGGAGGAAATCGACAAGGGATCGGCCGGGAGCGGGACACGCAGGGGAGAGGAGGGAATCGAGATACGTGTCTCTCGGCATGTTTTTATCCGGCGTGAAGCTGTCACGCAGTTTTATGTGTTTATTTATCTCTCCTCTCGTGCAGTATACACCATGCAGCGGGCATATATCGACGGAGGAGTACATATAAGTAATCTTCATGGCGGAGAGTTCTTTCGGAGGCTTCTGGCAGTCCCTCTCTCTTTTAACCCCTTCGTTTATTCTCTCTGTCTCTGTCTCTCGAGATCTGCTGCCGCTTGCTTTTTTTGTCTCTCCCCGGCGAAAAAGTTTGCGACAACCGGTCCTCCTCGGGGAACACCATCGGGTGTCGCCGTACCGAATCCACAAAAAGTTTCTCGGTATCTCCCTAATTATGACTTACGTCTCTCACTCTCTTACAGCGAGAGCGCGTGATCTGTTTTTTGAAAGTGATAGCAATTGTAACCACCAATTAATTGACTCTCTCTAATTCGTATCGCCAAATTGTACTTGTATATATTTCGAGGGCTGAAAATGATGTGAAATAATATTGTACAAATAATATTTTATTATATTAACACGAATTAATTATATTACAATATGTGACTTTTAGAGTCATCTTCGTCTGCGCTTCATTTACATAATAGTGAGCAATATCTTTTTTTTTTTTTTTACGTCACTTTACTGCAAGCGTAATTTCATCAATCTATAAATCTTAACGTTTTCTTCCTCATGGTTTTGTGAGACACTACTGCGAGAAGGGAAAAATCGAAGGAAGTTCTCCATACGCTCGAAGAAAACATTTACATGCACCGCCTCCTGTTGCGTTCGCTTCGTCATGCGTCCCCGACTGCCTCGCTTCTTCCTTTCTCGACTTTATCTCCATATTTACATCACCGTTTTACGGATGATCATTATTATATAGCTCATCATTATATTTATTATTTTCTGTTACGTGAGCGGAATGAGACATCGATGGTGTTCAGCGCTTTCTGCATTTTATTGTTGGACTCGTCGGAAGATAGGAGTCCGCTCATAAAAAAAAAACTGATCGAAGAGAAGGAAATGAGAAAAAAAACTCTTGCGAGAGATTTAAGAAATTTCAATTGCAGCGCACGTGCGGTATTAACACATGTCTCCGAAATTTCTGAACGTTTACCTGCGATTTTTTGAATTGGTGCGTGCTACCGATTTAATTGTCGGTTGTCAAGCGTGATTTACAACCGATGTAAAGATTACCGGTTCAGTAAGCGGGTGACGACGTACGAAATCTTGAAACTTATGAAACTGCTGCTAAGACAGTATTTTTAACGCCACGCGCGTTAAAATAAGAAATTGAAATTGAAATTGAAATCGGAAATTGAAATAAATAATTTTCAGATCTCTCTATACCATACATAATTACGAGACAGAAATTTCTCGTGTAAGACGTTAGCATCCCCGCAACAATAAAATTTCATAGTTCTATTCAGAGTTTCCGTTTCATTTTGAAGAGACGAAGAATTCTCTATAGTTTACAACAAGACTTTTGCTTAATAACAATTTATAATTTAAATTTAAGAAATGGAATGCTAACTTTTATCAAAATTGTTAAGTAAAATTCTTGTTATTAAATTATATATTAAACTGTGTTATTAAACTCTTTGTCTCTTAAAAATAAAGCGGGAACTCTAATCAGAACTATGGAATTTTAATGTTGGGGTGTTAACTTCACGCACGCAGAAATTTCTATAATTTATTCGCAATAAAAAAGAAATAACAGTAATTCTGTTTCACGCGTGTAAACGTGCAATTAATATTCGCAATATTAATGATCGTGGACCAGTTTCAGGAAATTAATATGTATTTTCTAAAATGAAGGTTCTCTCACTCCAGCTTTTGAAAGTATAATGGCTCATTGAGCGCCATTAGTCGCGGAACTCCCCCAAGACCAGTTGGTGTTAGAATTACTTGGAAAACGTATAAGCCGACGCATAATAATGCATTGACGGCTCCACGAGGGCGTATCGGAGGCGGCGAGATGAGCGGATGTTAATGGTTAATTAAGAGTATCGATCTCGATCGCGCGGCGATCGGGAGAGTGCGACTGTGGGTGCGTGTACGTGCTTGTACGTTATGCATATTACGGGCTTGCGTAAGTCGCCGCTCCAATTTCCAGCCGCGGCGAAAGACGCACACGCCGCGCGAAATTACACGCTCGACGCTCGTCGGGCGGCAGCGGCGGCGGCGGCGCGCGATTTTTTACACGCCTAGAAACCGGGCGTGTCAAATTTACACCCGGGAATCATTATGATCAACACTGGACATTAAAAGGTGCGGATTACGTATGTATATATACGCGCGACAAACTGCCAATTATCCCGTCGCCTCTTACGCGGTCCCTGCAAAACGGTCACCGGCATGCCTCTACGCCCCCGTGGCTGATCAATTCCGAATGGACATCATTACGATCGCGAGCGGCCCGTTTAACGCTCCTCGCGATCTCCCGTTGCGATTAAATCGGTAAAAAACTCGCGTGCGATGGCTGTTTCCCCGTCCAATAATTCGCGTAATTATTTGTATGAACGCGCGAAAATTGTACTCACACGATAATAACGTGAACAACCGCTGGATTATGGTAGGTATATATACATCAGCGAGAACAAAAAGACACAAAGATAATCAAATGTGAAATTTTATTGACAACATAGATCAAAATTGCTAGTCTACTCGACGTTCAATTTGTTTTCCTCCAATGCGGCGGAGGTGTCGTGCCCGTATATCATTAGGATCGAATAATTACGTAACGCCACCGGGACTTTATAATCATTCACGCGCGTGCTGTGTAGCTATAAATCAAGCGGCAAATTTTGTAATACGCGCGTGCCAGCGCGGATTACGTACATTTTCCAGCCATGTAAATAAATCGCTTCTGCGTGCCTGCGTCCGTCAAAACCGACGCGTAACGTGTTAATCATTTGCGACACATGGATGCAATTCGCGTTCTGTGTAAATCGCGCTCTCGCGTCGGTGATGTCTATTACGTCGCTGTTTACACCCGGTATCGCGCTCGATGCGAAACGGGAAGAACTGTGAATGATGAATGGGAGATCTATCGCTGTTGATTTATGAGAACGACCCAATAATGCTGCAATATTTTCATAGAACACCGCATACACATACACATGTGCACACTAAGCTTTTAATTACAATTCATTTAAAATTAAATTACAATAAATCATGAGAATGTTAAAATAAAATTCCAGTAAATGGAACAGAGAACTAGTTTCTGTCTTCTATTTACGTATTTGATATTTGGACGCATCAGATCTTTGACTTTATAGAACTTCTATAATGCAGATATTTTTTTTCTCACATTAGAGACACTAGTCCACGAATCCCGTTGTTCTCCGCGTTGTGTATCGATAAGTGCGATTGAACGAGCAACGAGCGAGCGAGAGAATGTGATCGTGATGCACGTTATCACCTTTGGCTCTCGTATGTGGATATATACTTATGCTGCCAATGCCTCCGCTTAAATGCGTATGTTTCTCTCTTTTCTCTTATTGTACGTACGCGCAAATACGCCTCCGAGAGCCGGGCTGAAGGTAGAGAGGGACCGTTAGCGACACCTTGTTCACAAATACACGCGCACGTACGTGCACCGTGTAAATTTCAGGAAAGATTAAAGGGACCAGAGAGACGTAGAAATGGAAAGAGAGAAAGAGAGAGAGAGAAAATGCGCCGTCGTGGAAAAACAGGGCGCTTCATCTCGATAAAAAAAATTCCCAACGGGGACCCACGATTGCGCTCGATTTACGATTATCGAGGACAAAATGCGAAAACGCGCGTACAATGTCGTTAACGTTCACGTTATCTCGCGCTAGCTCGCATATATTTGCCGGCGATGATTGCGACATAGGCCGATCGTGCGGCGAGCGCGAGAGCGTTCCTTTTTTCTTAATTTTAAATATTCCGAGTTCTGAGATCCTTTTAATCTCGATATCAAAGGAATTCCGCAAGATATCTTTCCTGTGTGTACAAACGAGTCTCAATTACTCTCGCAATTCTCAATATTCATCTCGTTCAAGATGAATAAAAACATACGTAACGTAGCCGCGATACAAATCAGAAGGCCCATCTCGATTTTCCAATCTTGCGAGGGGAAGAAAAATTAAATCGCGTTTTAAGTGTCGACTGAAAGAATTCGGGGTGACTGTGTCGCGCGGAAGGAAGCGAAACTTTTTGCCGCGCGACGATCCGTGAGAACTCGAAGTTCTCGGCTCGAATCGCGATAAAAAAGCCCTTTCCCAACTCCCGCGTCTCTCCCGCTCGTTCTCCGGGCCATCACGGGGAGGAGTTTTGAACGACGAGCGAGGCGAGACATTAAAAATCGCCATGCGGGTGGCGGGGTGCGCAGGCACGAAAAAAATCAGCGCGACGGTAGGGATCGCAGGAGAGATCGGAGGGGCGGCGGAGGCTCGTGCGCACATGTGGCGGGAAGTTGTCGTTGATATCTTCTTGTGTGCCGTCCGATGACGAACACTCTCGCGAGAAATGGGTTCAATGAATCTGTCCCGAGGCTCGTATTTTTGCGCGCCGCGCAGAAGCGCCATCGGGCGCGATATCGTGCCACGCCGGCCGATCTTAAAAATAATCGCGGTTCATCTGGCGATGTGATAACGCATCGCCATGCTAAAATTGTGGCTCTCATAATCTTTCCATTCTTTGAAAAAAAAAAAGTTATTACGACTAATACTTATGGTGAGATTTATCGATTTTAGCGCCAACATCGATAATTTTACGCTACTTTCAACAATCGCTTTCTCAAATAAAAAAAATTATTATAATTTCTATCAGCAAATTCTCCAATCAAAATTTCCGGTTGTATATAATTTGTCACACGAGAAATGATAGAATGCACATATTCACTGTTGAAAGCAGAATTGTAATTAATTAATTGAATTAAAATTAGGAAATTTATTGCTTCGCAGAGAAAACAAATTGTTATTAGATTGTAATTTATTTATTCAATCATCTCTCGATTTTTTTAAAATTTAAACTCAACCTGCAGTCATTTATACCACAAAAATAAATTCATCATTCTTTCAGTCTATCCTGATTCATCTATCTCTTTATAAGTAAATCCCGCGCAGAAGAAAGGCAAAAATTGTTTACCTTGCGCAGCATCGAGGAAGGGATTCCCGGCGACCGGCGCGAGGATCGTCGCGACCGCTGTTATCATCAGTATCATCAAGCGACGCATTTTGGATGCGTGCATCTGTGCGAAGCACCCTTCACTCTTGAATCTCTGCGTAACGACGCGCGCGTTCACCTCATCTCACCACCGTACGCACGCGTGTTTCACCATAGAGGAAGGGAGGAAGAAAAAGGAAGATAAAGAAAACACGCGAAGAGAAAGAAAGAGGGAAGAAAAGGAAAGAGAAGAAGATATCAGGCAGTCTCGCGGAAATGCGGAGGAGTCACATGTCGGAACGAGACGCGCGTGGCACTCGCACGGGACCGAGGTGTGCACTCGAACGCAGCTCACGAGCGACTGAGCTTTTCGTGGCGTGGCACTTACGAGCCGCACGAGTTGAGCTTTTTACTGTGAGTGAGTGGGTGAGAGGAAGAAACGAGGAGTAGAGAGACTGCCGTGGCTCACCCGTGTGCCGGAGGGGGACCCGGGACGAGACGAAGAAGGTAAGAGAACGAGCGAGCGCGAGAGAGGGACGGCGCGAGAGGAATTGCGTGTGTGGGTGGGAAAAGACGCGTGGCGCGTACGGCTGTCATGCAGTGCAACCCGCTATTGTGACATCTTCGACCGTATACCCACACGGTGCCCGCTGTAAATTTTTCTTTCTTTCTTTCTTTCTTTCCGGTCTCTTCCCATCGTCCCTTATAACCGCGCGGCGAGTTCTCGTGATGAGTTCTTTGTTACGCGCGCAAGTAGCGAAATCCGGTGATGTGAGAAAGAGAAAGAGAGAGAGAGAGAGTGAGTGAGAGAGAAAAGATAGAGAAAGAGAGCGCATAATGGACGATAAACGATTGTATATTCGTTCCTCGGCTGCAGTATCTTCTCGAGTACTTATCCGTCTCGAGCCAAGAGCACGCAGGTCAGACGAAAATCGGTCCGCGCCCATAAATCTAATGCCGCGCGCCCCATTTGCCTTCGAGTGGCTTCGAGTGGCACCGCATTCCGAGAAGGAGGAAAACCGATAACCCGCGGGACGGTAACTTCCGCTGATAACGCCGCGATACGACGCGAAGTAAATCTCCGTCATATATTTCCGATACGCTCGATACTTCGCATGCCTCGGCGACGTGACGTCCCGTACAAATAATCCTCTCTCGACGAGTCGAACAATTCGTTCCGAACACGCTACAAGCACAGATACTTTGGCGAGATAAGATTAGACCCGGCATTACTCACGCGACCGTATCTACGACTAGGATTCTTAATCTGTTAAAAAGATCCACGGTTTTTACATGCAGCGAACGGCTCAATTAAATGTCGCCGTCCGAGATTCTGTCAAACTGCATAGCCTGCATTTTTCTACGCCTCGTGATTTATCACGTGGTCAGAGATCGAACCGCGCGGAGTATCATCTATTTTTTATCGATATCTCGCCGGCCAACGGGCGTCCGAAGATACCGCTCGCTGTCGTCTCCGGATATTTGATTGACTGATCGGAGCGGAGGCTCTCGGAAAGCGCGCCCGTAATTTATTAATTTATTCCGCCGATAAATCGCCTTCAATCCGCACGTGGGCAGCGGAACGACCGGTCCCCGATATCTCTCTCTTCTTCGCTCCCCTTTTAATCTCTCCTTTTCTCTTTCTTTCCCCTTTATATTCTGTTCTTTTAAGAGGAGAGAGAGAGAGAGAGAGAGGGAGAGGCCGTTATTCTACTGCCGATATAAATAACGGCAGCGCGGTATGTCATTTGCGTGTGTTGCACAATTGGCGAGTGTTATGCAAAAATGTGTTAACCCACTAATTTTAAGTAAATGAAGTCTAAAATACACAGTTTTATTCCGCTGATCCAGCTACGAGTACCACCATTTCTCTAATTTTGCCGATTAACATATCTTTAGCGTATACATATAGCACTCTGTCCGTCCGACTCTCGTAAGAAAACAAGGACTTTTTTTCACAGCGAGATTTACACTCGTACCGAATGTTCTTGGGTTCCGGGATCGATACTCCAACACATTTTTCTCGCCGTCCGTCATCCTTCTGGGGAGTCCAAGACGGCAATATAAATGCAGTCTCAAGTCTGTTCTCGACACCCGGCGGGTCACGTAAAGCAAACCGAGCGACCGGTTACGCGATCGAGGCTTACCCAAGACACGTCCGCTATGTTAATCGCGTATGATCGTATAAATATTCAAACGTTCGCTGGACCGCGCAGCTCGGGACGGACCTCCGACGTGCTACCGGTGGACTGCCTTATCTGAGTGTCCACGTAACTACCTGTCGCGCATAGGTAATTAACAATGAGGAACGACACACAAATCAGTTGTCTCGCTCGCGGCGATCGGCGATTGGTACGCGTAAGAATGTAGTCCTCCGGCGATATATGTCCACTCTCTCGAAACTGAACGATTAAATTAGCCGTTTCACGGCTCAATCGTCAACCTGAAAATTGCCTGCCGGTGATTTGTTACCCGAAATTACGGGATTTAATGACGGCTCTCGAAAATCAATCGACAAGATACTTGCTCTGTTTCCGGTGATCGCTCGAATGCCTGGTTTCATCGAAATTCCGTCGATCTTCCGTTTATCGTTTGAAAGAGACGTTTCGAGGAAAGATGCGAGGATGCATCTCAATTATTCGACGAGATTCGAGAGAGCGCGTCTTACCAAAAATCCGTTTGCGAATGCCAATTCCGAGGAAACCAGTTTTGCCGATCGCCGAACGAAGAACGCGCCGGAATCGGAGTCGCCGTGAATGCATATACCGGTTCAACCTCATCGAACGAAGTACCATAAGGATCCTTATTCCGTGCGGGAGGATGCAGCTAATTTGTGAGGCGAGACCATGATATTAAGTAGCCTCTCCTTCGCAATTCCAACGCCAGTGAGATGTTCGCACATACTGTAGTGCGGTTTCATTTCCTCTCCATTTCTGTGTTTTCTAATCTCTTTCTTAATTTTGCGCGAAATAGCGGAAAATTTTATTAATTAGTCTTATTAATTAATTGTGTATGAAACAATTAATCAAAAAAATTATTAATATATTAATTAAAGAAATAATTTTTAGACATTAATATCGGTCTAGATTTGTTCTTAATATTTAATAGAATGAAATTTTACTAAAATATTTTTTATTTTCTCGTTGCATCTCGTTGCATTTAGCTTGTTCCCATTTATTCTCTTTAAACAAACATCCTCGCGATGACGTTCTTTGTATCGAAGCGATCTGATACCAGGAACACAGCCCGGCAACGCGGAGACTTCGCCGGACTCGATTTAACTCGCTCAAGTACTCGGAATGGTTATTAATTATCTTCGTGCAGACGCGTCGGCTAATTGGACGGCGTCGTATGCATCTAGCGGGCGAGACGAGCGAGACGTGAATTTTGATTCGTCCCGGATCAACGCGAGAATGTTATTGTCACCGATTGTAATTTTTTTCTTTTTTGTTCGCAAACTAAATAATAAAGTCCATTACTAAAGAGACCGCGAGAGAAAAATATTTCATTGGAATAAAAAAGTTACTTTCGAGAGATATGCAGAACAGAACGTTAAATCTACGTAAAAATATAAAAAGCTAAAGAACATTGTTAAAAATATGATGTGCACAATGCATTATCCAAATGTATTGTAATATATTTATTATATTCCAAGATCACAATATTATTCAGAATTGTCGCAGCATAAAAATTATACATTCGATTTGACAGAAAATTGGATTCGGATAAATTCCCCTCGGTTCACTCTGGATCATATATTTTTTACGGAAAAACAAGTGTGTGCACGGCTGACCAGAGGGAGACAAGAGGTAAACGGTTCGTTGAACGTTGGTACCTTGCGGTCCGTCGTCGACTGCATGTCGATGAGGCGGTGCCGCGACCGGGCACCTCGTCCGTTGCACCGTGAGAAATCGAATTCCCTGCGCGCGAATGTGTCGCGGTGTCGCGTGCGGAATTCCGATGCACCGAGACGCACCCCGGTCGCGCCCGTTTTTTTTTTCGCGCGCGAAGTCGCGCCTCGGACACCCGCCCTCCGCGGACTTCGCCGCGGAGGATAATGGCGACGCGCCAACCATCCGTTCGACGTGGCACCGTAATGCGACGCGATACAGGCACCATCCATTCTGCTATTTAAATAATGTCGGGCTTCGCCGCCGCGCGGCCCTCTTCTTACGCGCCGACTTGTCATTACGAGAAGTTCGAGCGTGGAAAGACAATACCGCGAGGACGATCAGAGGAATTGGAACGCTCGGCAATGAGCGCGCCGTTCTCGGTATCGGAGATCGCGCGCGTGGTCCCGTTATAATTTGTCTTAATTTCTTAATTTAGAAAGTACACAGTAAAAAATTTTTTCTCAAAATCTTGCAAAGTTTTATACGACACTTATTATTATAAACAGAATATTAAAACAAATTGATATTTGAAATTTGGATCAACCTACTTAAATTTGATCCGAATTTACTAATTTCAAAATCAAATTTGCTATTAGTTATATATTGTAACATATTGTATCTCTTTACACGTCCCTCGTTTATTTCTAACAATATGCGTGTGAAGAAATATAACAAGAAATGTAATTTTATATCGTAAATATTGTAAAATAAGAATTATACGATCAATAGCTTCGCCGGTACCGCGTGTCGGGTTTCTCACAGGTCACCCTCGTGCGGGACCAAATCAGCCGTCAGCCGTTACCGACGGCGTACTCCACAGGGGTGCCGAGCGGCGCTGAGAGCGTCGTCGGGGGTGGCGTCGGAGCGGGTCGCGCGACCAGCAGCGGGTGGCAGGTACCCCTTGCGCGAGAGGAAGTGAGTCGTAAAATCGTTCGTACGCGCACAGACCGACGGACGGAACTGCCTGCGGTGCTGTCATATGGAGCCGAGCGACGGGGCGGCGCGTTAGGCGAAACGGCGGTCCCGCTTCTCGCGGGACGAGCGCGCGGGGCTACCACGAGAAGAGCGCGAATGATCGATCCGACAGCAGTTCGGTGAGTGTGCGGAACGAGTGTGCAAAGTAGTCGCGGAAGAGCGCCGCGAGGAAGGAAGGACGAACGGGCGCCCGGCCACGCGC